TTTTTGTGTGCGTGTACCGTCAAATCAGATCTGACTGGTACAGGAGGAGATTGTCCCTCCTTCCCTGGCAGAGCATCTGGTGGATTTGAACCGTGCGCCTCTGTGATTGTAGTTGCAGCTCCTTACCACTAGTGGAGAGTTGTTCTGCTGACTCAAAAGTGGTACCTCTCTGGCTGTTCAGCTCCGTCAGCCCAGAGGCATCATGGGAGGAGGATGGGGAATCTCCTTCAGTCCAATTTCTTTCTCTCTTTTCCATTGAATTAGAACAGACTCATATCTGACCCTCCAGGGGACTTTCAGAGGCTGTAAATTGCATGGAGGAGATTGCTCATCTTTCTTTTGAGGAGGAACTAGTAGCTTCAGATGGGCCTTCTTAGGATTGGCACACAACTCCCCACCCGCACCACCACCATATCCTTTGAGGTAGATTTTCGTTGTGTGGTTTTTTTTATTGTGCTTTGGGTGAAAATTGGTTTTGCATTTCACAATTCATAGGCACCTTTTAGAACATGAATAGCTGTTCTCACATTGTTTCCACTCACTCCATGTGTTTATTTCCACGGGCTCTGCTATCCTGTCTCTTCAGCCCACTGCCTTTATTCCTGGGCAGATGTTACCCTTTTGCTCTTGTACATTTGATTGTTTTATGGGGTGTGTGTATACCTTCCTGCTGTTACTGTTCGCCTTACTAGTCTTTCTATTATTGAACTAAAAGTTGAGCTCTGCGGGTGGAGGGCAAGTATACTTCTAACTTAAAAGAGTGTGAAAGCGTCACCTTTGAGATAAATTTCAGCAGACAGTCTTACAGCTTTTGAGAGACGGAATTATAAATAAACTTGGACAGCCTTTTGTCCATTCTTATTGCTGAGTACTGTACATGTTCAAAGAATCCAATGTCTAGTGGAGAATTGACCAGAAATCTAGAAAATGAGCTATTTTAGGAATGAGCGCTTCGGAATATCTAGAGCTTTGAACTAGTTGTTCCCAGTTCAGTCATAGCTGATGAAACACCAGATGAGCTATATTTGTAAAATGTGAGTGTACCAGAGCCAGAAAGAGCAAAATTTGCATCAGTGCTCTGTTAGAAATATAATCTCTCTTTTAGAAAACAAGGCCAGATGGTTACTAGGCATGGGAAGCAAGGAAGAGGGGACAGAAAATTAATATACAGAGAAGTGGGATGAAAAGAAAGGCAATACTTAAGAAGAGGCTAATCATATGTTGTAATTAATTACATTAATGAATTATAATTGATGTTGTAAAACAGAATGCTTAGAGATGATTGAATGAAAAGCAAATATGATTTATAAACTTTCACACAAATTTTTAAAAAGAAATACAAAACCAGAGGCAGTATGTGAATTGCCTAACAACCTCAGTTCTTGCACTGCAGAGTCCAAAACAATTATGACTGACTCAAAGATGGAGGCTTTGAATGCACATTGCTTTCCACAGTGCTGGCAATAATCCACTCTCCAACATCAGATTCTTTTATTGACTTACCCACTTCTTCTGAGTCTCCCTCTCCAGGGCTTCCACTCATTCTGATTATTGGTCATGTTTACTTCAACAATTTACACCTCACATTTTACAAATTCCAGTCTGTTCTGATTTTGCTGCACTGTTCATGACTGACCAGCTCAAACCAGTTCAAAGTCTTGGAAATACAATGACTTTCCAGGTAGATTTCGTCTAAAGATATTTTAGGGGTGGCTCCCCAGGATGGCGGCATCAAGTAGGGCAGCAACCACTGGTGGAGGTAGTGGAAGCAGGGGCTTCAGTTAGAGTCCAAGGGAGGAAAGGTCCGAGCCACTGAAGCCCCGCGTTGGGGCGTGACAGTCACCCCGAAAGGCGGAGCACAGCTCTCATCCTTTTCTTCTATAAGCTGGCATCATGACCCTAACAAAAGGTTCCTTCACCTACTCCAATGGGGAGGAATATCATGGCAAATGGAAAGAGGGCCGTAGACATGGTTTTGGCCAATTGATGTTTGCAGATGGTGGCACCTACTTGGGTCATTTTGAAAATGGGCTGTTTAATGGCTTTGGGGTGCTGACCTTCTCAGATG